GATAACCGCCATTATCCGACCATAATTTGTGGAGTTATGCCCCTTTATGGATTTGCCGAAACAGTGTCCGCTCGATGTCTCAAGTAATTATTAATGGATTTACTTCAAACTTCCATCAAGATTAATTACCATAAAAGCTCGGACAAGTTTGATAACCGCCATTATCCGACCGTAATTACTGGAGTTATTACCCTTGGTTTCATTAATGCGATGCATGCGTTCCATGATGTTGTATTGCACTCATTGATCTACCAGTTATGTTGAATGATTTCTCTTTTAATATCAATTACTCACAAATACTTCATATATTTCAATCATACAAACAACTGCTCATTCAATGTGTGACGGGCGTATTATATACCGCTCGCGGTAACCTTGTTATTTGTTCGCTCACTCATGAACTAGCTAGGAGATATGAATTTGTGTTTGTTCGCTCACCCATGAACTAGCCAGGAGACATGAATTTGTACTTGCTCGCTCACCAATGTACTAGCTAGGAGATATGAATTTTTACTTGCTTGCTCACCCATGTACTAGCTAGGAGATATGAATTTTTACTTGCTTGCTCACCCATGAACTAGCTAGGAGATATGAATTTGTACTTGCTCGCTCACCCATGTACTAGCTAGGAGATATGAATTTTTATTTACTCGATCACCCATGAACTAGCCAGGAGACATTAATTTGGACTTGCTCGCTCACCCATATACTAGCTAGGAGATATGAATTTTTACTTGCTCTCTCACCCATGTACTAGCTAGGAGATATGAATTGTTATTTACTCGATCACCCATGAACTAGCCAGGAGACATTAATTTGTACTTGCTCGCTCACCCATATACTAGCTAGGAGATATGAATTTTTACTTGCTCTCTCACCCATGTACTAGCTAGGAGATATGAATTTGTACTTGCTCGCTCACCCAAGTACTAGCTAGGAGATATGAATTTTTACTTGCTCTCTCACCCATGTACTAGCTAGGAGATATGAATTGTTATTTACTCGATCACCCATGAACTAGCCAGGAGACATTAATTTGTACTTGCTCGCTCACCCATGTACTAGCTAGGAGATATTTATTTTTACTTGCTCACTCACCCATGTACTAGCTAGGAGATATGAATTTTTATTTACTCGATCACCCATGAACTAGCCAGGAGACATTAATTTGTACTTGCTCGCTCACCCATATACTAGCTAGGAGATATGAATTTTTACTTGCTCACTGACCCATGTACTTGCTAGGAGATATGAATTTTTACTTGCTCGCTTACCCATGTACTAGCTAGGAGATATGAATTTTTACTTGCTTGGTCACCCATGTACTAGCTAGGAGATATGATTTTTTTACCTGCTCGCTTACCCATCTACTAAGAGATATGAATTTTCACTTGTTTGCTCACCCGATCTAAATTACTCTGACCACCCAAATACATTTGTTCTTGTCCTGTAATTTTACCTGTGGTAAAAAAAGGATAGTCTATATCATATAATATAATATTTCAAGCATGTAAGATATGTACGTAAATAGAGAGTAAAGGGAGAGATATGGTCAGGAAAGTTGCCATCATGTTCAAACATTGAATTATTACAGCAAGTGGTTGAGGTGAGTAAGAAGTATCTACCGGAGATGTCCAAATGCTTCGGAGACCCAAGACTGCACGTGTTTATCGGGGACGGAGTGCAATTCATGAAACAGAATAAGGGAGAATTTGATGTGATCATCACGGATGCCCCGGACCCTGTAGGTAAGTGATGGTAAATGTTGACTATCTCTATGATCATCACGGATGCCCCGGACCCTGTAGGTAAGTGATGGTAAATGTTGACTATCTCTATGATCATCACGGATGCCCCGGACCCTGTAGGTAAGTGACGGTAAGGGTTGACTATCTCTATGATCATCACGGATGCCCCGGACCCTGTAGGTAAGTGATGGTAAGGGTTGACTATCTCTATGATCATCACGGATGCCCCGGACCCTGTAGGTAAGTGATGGTAAGGGTTGACTATCTCTATGATCATCACGGATGCCCCGGACCCTGTAGGTAAGTGATGGTAAGGGTTGACTATCTCTATGATCATCACGGATGCCCCGGACCCTGTAGGTAAGTGATGGTAAGGGTTGACTATCTCTATGATCATCACGGATGCCCCGGACCCTGTAGGTAAGTGATGGTAAGGGTTGACTATCTCTATGATCATCACGGATGCCCCGGACCCTGTAGGTAAGTGATGGTAAGGGTTGACTATCTCTATGATCATCACGGATGCCCCGGACCCTGTAGGTAAGTGATGGTAAGGGTTGACTATCTCTATGATCATCACGGATGCCCCGGACCCTGTAGGTAAGTGATGGTAAGGGTTGACTATCTCTATGATCATCACGGATGCCCCGGACCCTGTAGGTAAGTGATGGTAAGGGTTGACTATCTCTATGATCATCACGGATGCCCCGGACCCTGTAGGTAAGTGACGGTAAGGGTTGACTATCTCTATGATCATCACGGATGCCCTGGACCCTGAAGGTAAGTGATTGTTAGGGTTGACTATCTCTATGATCATCACGGATGCCCCGGACCCTGTAGGTAAGTGATGGTTAGGGTTGACTATCTCTATGATCATCACGGATGCCCTGGACCCTGTAGGTAAGTGACGGTAAGGGTTGACTATCTCTATGATCATCACGGATGCCCCGGACCCTTGCCCACAAAAAGTTCCCTGAAAACAGGACACATCTGTTCATCATATTTAGGTCACACTGACCTATTCCAAGTTATTGTAGATTCTATTTTGTTACATTACCCTAACAGAAGAGATATAATTAACATATGTTTGAATATTTTGAAGCAGTAATATATCACACAGAATTCAAAGCTGTTAGAAGAATACTAGTAAAGACGTATTGACCTTAGGCATTGCCATTCTCCTACATTTTAAGTTCACCTGCCTGAGCTGTCCGTCCATCCATCAACTTTTCATTTAAAATGGTACTTGTCCTACTGACCTACTGAGGGGATTTTGACTTAATTTGGCCTGGAGTATCATTGGGCAAAGGGGATCAAATTTTGTATTAATGGGGAGGGGAGCCGGGGGTTTGGGGTAGAGGGGCAGGGGCAAATAGGGGAAATTTAGGTAAATCTTTAAAGTCCTTCCCTTTCCGTAGGAATGAGGACTTTTAACCAAATTTTGTCTAGAACATCCTTGGGCAAGGGGATTTCAATTTTGTATAAATGGAAGTTGTGGCTCCTCTGGGGGCAGAGGGTCAGGGCCTATAAGGGAGAACATGTGGATAAATGTTTTATAATCTTTCTTCTGTATGAATGGAGGCCTAGGGATTTGACCAAATTTTGTGTTGAGCGTTCTTGAGAAAAGGGACTCAATTTTGTATAAATGGAGGTTTTTGCCCCTGTGGAAGCAAAAGGGTAGGGCCTAGAGGTGAAATAGAGCTAATTTAATCTTTAAAATATTTTGCCTTCTTTGAAAATGTAGGGTTTTTTAACCAAATTCAGAGTAGACAAATCTTTGAAGAACAGGGACTTGATTTTATGTAATTTGAGAGTGTGATTCCCATTGGGGCCCAATTTGGTGGCATAGGGCTATATCTTTATAATCCTTCTCCTTCTGTAAGAATGCAGGGATTTTAACAATATTTGATTGAGAGCTATCCTTGATCTAAGGGGACTCTATTTTGTGTAAATGGATAGTGTGGTCTCCCTTGGGTCAGAGCGGCTTGGCCCAATAATGTTAATAAGGGTAAATCTAAAAATCCTTATCATTCCATACAGAAAATGGAATCTTACACGAAGTTTTATATACAGTATCCTTGGCCCAATGGGATTCAGTGTTGTATAAACCATGCTCCCATCTAAATGGGGACAGAGGGATGGGACCCATTAGTATAGGAGTGTTGCTGAGAGGCAGAGCCGATGTTTAGAAATATTTGCAGTCTAATGTTTAATGATAATATTTGCCATGATTACTTAAACATCCAGGTGAGCGATACAGGCCCGTTAGGCCTCTTGTTCTATCCTCATTATAATTATATTCCACAATAATGCATGCACATATGTTGTTTCTAAAATTAATAGATATGGATTTTTTTTAATTACGCAGGTGTGGCTAAAGGTTTATTTGAAACAGACTATTACAACAGTATGAAGACAGCCCTGGCCCCCGGGGGTATCGTCTGCTCACAAGGTACGTCCTTATATCTATATACCACTACAAGACAAGGTATGATTCAGAACAACTTTCATTGGTCAGTCAGAAATAGCTGTGGTATACTGTAGAAGATGAATTCGCGAGTGAAAGAATGAAGTATTATCTTCCATACCTTCTCCTCAGTGATTGTCTCCCCCCAAATGATTGAAACTTCACCTGGATCACTGTTCGTTTATGTAGAAGAACAACTGGTACGACCGTTATAAAATATAACATTTTCGTGTTAAATCCTGACGGACCTGCAAAAGTTTATGCAGGCCTTGCAAGGCTTTGTCAAGGCTCGCCTGAAAGCACCATCAGATTACTGGGTCCGACCTTATTTCATAAACGAACAACAGTGGTCCAACCGTTTGGACCGCGAAGAACGAAAACTGCCATGTATAACACTACCATCATGCCCTGCCTCTTTTCTTCAAAGCTGGTCTTTATGCAAACATTATCAGTTTATGAGCACTCTCAAAGATAAGATTCTAGAAAATTAGATTTAAAGATCTAAAATTAAATACTTAGGGTTCTTGATGATAATTTCAGAACATTAGGGCATTTATTTTTAATTATTTGAATTGATAAGCAGCCACAGCTTGAACATAGGTTCCAGACTGAGGATACAGGGGTTATCTCCCCTTGTAAACAATCTCCAACAATAAGTGTCGACATAGGATCCAGTGTGTCTTGCATGAAATTTTCCTCCTACGTAAATTAACTATGCTGATTCTTTTATATTTATTTTCCAAAATGTCTATGATGAATAGAAGGCAAGATAGTAGCCTGAATTTCCTCTGGCCCTGACACAAGACTTAGACATTTCGACAGATATATGTCTGGTGTGGGACATCTATCTGTCAAAATGTCTTAAGTCTGCTGTCAAGGCCAGTGGAAACACGGGCTAGAAACTTTCAGAGATCTTGTTTCCTCTTTATACCCAGTAAGACGATCGTTATATTTCTTTATTTGTGTTTCTCATTAGTATAAATAGTGAACCTTCATTCCAAAAATAACTGTCAGAATTGTGAGAGAACTATATCACTCGGGTGTTCTGATATAGAAAAAAGTGCCAATCTATCCCCGAAAACCACCTGCTAAAATGAAAGTGTGGAACAACCAAATTAGTTGAGACTAGAATAATGCTTCTAGACTTTACCTTGGATAACAAGTGTGCCCTTGTATCTCGTTGCCAATCTATTGTCTTATCTCGAGAAAAGAAATTCAAAAATGTTTGACTTTGTTTTCTACAGGTGAAAGCTTTTACTTCGACTTAGAGTTTATCCAGAAGTTTGTGACGATGGCACGCACTGCTTTCCCCCGTGTAGGGTATGCCTACACCCTTATGCCAAGCTACACGGGCGGCCATATTGGATTCGTCATGTGCAGCACAAGTCCAGTATGTATCTTAAATTGAAATAACTAGAGATAAAAATAGAACGCTAGAGTTTATGACTCCTGTGTTATGCACAAAAAGAGATGTAGACAGAGAAATAGAATCTATCACTCCTGTGTGATGTAGACAGAGAAATGGAATCTATCACTCCTGTGTGATGTAGACAGAAAAAATGGAATCTATCACTCCTGTGTGATGTAGACAGAGAAATGGAATCTATCACTCCTGTGTGATGTAGACAGAGAAATAGAATCTATCACTACTGTGTGATGTAGACAGAGAAATAGAATCTATCACTCCTGTGTGATGTAGACAGAGAAATAGAATCTATCACTCCTGTGTGATGTAGACAGAGAAATAGAATCTATCACTCCTGTGTGATGTAGACAGAGAAATAGAATCTATCACTCCTGTGTGATGTAGACAGAGAAATAGAATCTATCACTCCTGTGTGATGTAGACAGAGAAATAGAATCTATCACTCCTGTGTGATGTAGACAGAGAAATAGAATCTATCACTCCTGTGTGATGTAGACAGAGAAATAGAATCTATCACTCCTGTGTGATGTAGACAGAGAAATAGAATCTATCACTCCTGTGTGATGTAGACAGAGAAATAGAATCTATCACTCCTGTGTGATGTAGACAGAGAAATAGAATCTATCACTCCTGTGTGATGTAGACAGAGAAATAGAATCTATCACTCCTGTGTGATGTAGACAGAGAAATAGAATCTATCACTCCTGTGTGATGTAGACAGAGAAATAGAATCTATCACTCCTGTGTGATGTAGACAGAGAAATAGAATCTATCACTCCTGTGTGATGTAGACAGAGAAATAGAATCTATCACTCCTGTGTGATGTAGACAGAGAAATAGAATCTATCACTCCTGTGTGATGTAGACAGAGAAATAGAATCTATCACTCCTGTGTGATGTAGACAGAGAAATAGAATCTATCACTCCTGTGTGATGTAGACAGAGAAATAGAATCTATCACTCCTGTGTGATGTAGACAGAGAAATAGAATCTATCACTCCTGTGTGATGTAGACAGAGAAATAGAATCTATCACTCCTGTGTGATGTAGACAGAGAAATAGAATCTATCACTCCTGTGTGATGTAGACAGAGAAATAGAATCTATCACTCCTGTGTGATGTAGACAGAGAAATAGAATCTATCACTCCTGTGTGATGTAGACAGAGAAATAGAATCTATCACTCCTGTGTGATGTAGACAGAGAAATAGAATCTATCACTCCTGTGTGATGTAGACAGAGAAATAGAATCTATCACTCCTGTGTGATGTAGACAGAGAAATAGAATCTATCACTCCTGTGTGATGTAGACAGAGAAATAGAATCTATCACTCCTGTGTGATATACACAGAAAAATAGAATCTATCACTCCTGTGTGATGTACACAGAGAAATAGAATCTATCACTCCTGTGTGATGTAGACAGAGAAATAGAATCTATCACTCCTGTGTGATGTAGACAGAGAAATAGAATCTATCACTCCTGTGTGATATACACAGAAAAATAGAATCTATCACTCCTGTGTGATGTACACAGAAAAATAGAATCTATCACTCCTGTGTGATGTAGACAGAGAAATAGAATCTATCACTCCTGTGTGATGTAGACAGAGAAATAGAATCTATCACTCCTGTGTGATATACACAGAAAAATAGAATCTATCACTCCTGTGTGATGTACACAGAGAAATAGAATCTATCACTCCTGTGTGATGTAGACAGAGAAATAGAATCTATCACTCCTGTGTGATGTAGACAGAGTAATAGAATCTATCTCTCCTGTGTGATGTACACAGAAAATTAGAATCTATCACTCCTGTGTGATGTACACAGAAAAATCAAATCTATCACTCCTGTGTGATGTACACAGAGAAATAGAATTTATCACTCCTGTGTAATGTAGACAGAGAAATAGAATCTATCACTCCTGTGTGATGTACACAGAGAAATAGAATATATCACTCCTGTGTGATGTAGATAGAGAAATAGAATCTATCACTCCTGTGTGATGTAGACAGAGTAATAGAATCTATCACTCCTGTGTGATGTTCAACTTCAAACAACTTGTGCGACCTGTCACTTTGATATTTACCCAATAGTGTACAGCTTAGGGTAAAAGATCTTAGATTTATTTCATCAACCTTCACCAGCAAGTTTAAAGCAGTCAGATGTTTGCAAGGTATTAAATCCTTTCTTTTAAAGATCAAACAGTTGGTTTAAACTACTTTTACCTGTTGTTTGCTATGGTGGAAGGGCTTTTAAATTTTGAAGGTAAATAACTTTTTTTTAATGAAAATCACAAACATATGTAATATGAGTATAAACTAATTGTTTCACAGGATTTGGTGTTTGAGGAGCCGGTCAAGTGTTACACAGATAAAGAGATTTGTCAAATGAGCCTCCAGTACTACAACACACCCATACACCGGGCAGCGTTCGTCTTACCGCAGTTTGTTAAAAAGGTATGCTACCGAGGAAAATGTCACCCAAATGGGAAAAATAAATCACAGTTATATATCAGAAGTATGTTTCTAAAAAACAAGGGAGGGAAATCTATAAGTCACAGAAATGATCAGGTGAGGTCAGTCTGTTTAGCAGACAATAGGGGAGGCAACTCTGTCACAGACAAAACAGGGAAGGTAGGTTCTGTTCGTCCCAGAGTTGTTGTTCCCGACACTCACAAACACCTCTGTCAATGGCTAAAACGTAGTCTGCTTCATATTAATAGCCACTGGTCATGTGACACTTGGTCATGTGCCATCAAACCGTACAATATGGCGGCCTTTGACAAGATTGACCACTTATCATCAGGTAAGTTCACCAGAATGTCACTTTTTCAGTAATACATGTATATATTCCAATGCTTCAACCATTTTGGCCTTCAATACCAAACCCTGGCTCACATACCTTTGCAATTTTGATAATATCATCTCTTACATTACTCATTAATCCAACATGTGCTAACAGCGTGGTTTTGTTTATATGGCTAACGTAGATACCGAGCTGTGGTTTTTTTTTTTGTAATTGTTTATTTTTCGACGATTTTTTCATAATACATATAATCATGAAAAGAAACACACGCACACACACACACACATACCCAAACTTACAGAACATATATGCTAGCATGAGATAACTTATTATACAACCATCATGTTCTGCATATTTATTTATTAAAACATTTCCTTATTCTCCTACCCCTAGATGATATGCGCTAAGAAGAATAAATTCAAACTTCCAAGCCTAGCATAGTATATGTATCACTGTTCACCAACACACATACACATATCACAATGTGTACATGATCATTTGAGCACTGATATATCTACATTGTGGACACTTATACATGTTACTGCACTGTATACATGTTCGATAGTAGCTATTTAATTGTACATACATGAATATGTACAATATATAAACACACATGCATAAACATAAGACTAGTATGCAGTCAGCTGTCGATATATATTGACACTCATATGCCTCATACCTAGCTATATCTATATAATTCATCTTTTACACACCCACACCCACACACACACACACACCATCAACCACACAACACACCATAACAAACTCTCAGACACCTATCCATCACACAGGTTAATACACACATCACTCTCTTACTTTAGAACCATAAATAATAGTATACATCTGTTGTGTACATCAAACCTACTATACTTATATAAGAGTAAAATCAGTAGTATAAGTTTAGAGAGAGAGAGAGGAGAGAGAGGGAGAGAGAAAAGAGAGAGAAGAGAGAGAGAGATGAGAGAGATAGGGGAGGCAATCTTACATGTAAAAATTGTATATACTTAAGTAGCCAGTGACTTAATCAGAAACTGCTGAGGCCTTGGATATATACCGTATACAAAAAATAGAGATACCGAGCTGTGTTACATATTGTATGGTGCATACAAATATAATCCAATCAGCTTTTCATTGAAAAATGCCCTACATTGACGTATATGGGAGAAGTTAAGTTTTTAATCAATTGATTACTGTAATCATTACTGAAAGACTCACAAGCTTTAGCTAAATTTAGATCTTCAAGACTTTGCCAAGATTCTTGGCATTAAAAAGCTGTTGACAGAGGTGTTTACCTAACCCTTTCACCACTGTAGACCACAATGTACTCATCCATATCAATGCATGGTAGAGTCTATTAAAGTTACATAGGGTGAAAGGGTTAATAGTGTAAGCACAGGAATACAATTTTTAAGAAAAAATTGAAGTCTTAACGTCGTAACTTTTGAAATATGTTTTTAATTTTATTGTTCTTTTATTTAAAAGCTGACTGTCAAAGGATTGTAAAATCCTAAACTTGTCAGAATAAATCTATGTATCTATGTAAGGAACGACAACTCTGGGTAGAGATTGAACCTCTGTATGTCCCGACCGGTAAATAGGATTGTTATTGGTAGACCACACTCTGTATGTCCCGACCGGGTAAATAGGATTGTTATTGGTAGACCACACTCTGTATGTCCCAACCGGGTAAATAGGATTGTTATTGGTAGACCACACTCTGTATGACTATGGTTTAAAGTATGTAAAGAGATTAATTAATATATTTAAATTGCCTTTATTACAAACTTACTAATAAATACGTTTTTTTTGT